GACACCTCATGGTCACACAGGCTGGTGTGCTTCTTCCATGTGGGCATACAATTATTTTCCTTGCTACTTCATCACTGTAATTTTGCTACTGTTACAAATCAGGTGACCCCTGTGAAAGGGTCATTGGACCCCAAAAGGGGTTGCGACCCACAGGTTGAGAATCACTGCCCTAGATCGATTGGAAGCCTTGGTTAACCTATTAACTGGCATTGACTGGCCTTTGGTTTTAATGCTGTTAGCATGGCTTACAGGTCCACGCCTCATAAACTGTCTTGTAAATTTTATCCAAAATCATATCCAAGCAGTCCACTCCGGGCCCAGCATTGTTTCTTAGCCAGGAGCCCGATTCCATGATTTGAATCCCTCAATAAATGAAGTGGGGAAAATGTAGTAACTCAGCTTAGCTTAAGAAACTCCATTAAAAAAAGAAAAAGAGAAAGAAACTCCATTTTGTGAGCTGATACCAAAGGACTCAAGTAGAAAGAAAATGTTTTGAACATGATGATGGCAACATATGTACAGATGTGCTTGACACAATGGATGGATAGATGGGTGATAAGAGTTGTATGAGTCCCCCATAAAGTGATTTTAAAAAAAGAAACACCATTTTGTTTTAAAACTTCCTTCAACTCCCTGCTAGCAGCTAGCTGCCCCTGTCCCCTCCTTCCCCTTCCCATCTCCTGACAAACCTTGACTCATTCAAGGCATCTCCAGACCTGCCCAATTAGCAAGAAATGTAAATGATCCTGACATCTGTGCTGTTCCCCCTAGCCACCCCACCCTTCCCACACCCTGCCAGCCTGATGGGAGGGCAGCTGCTTCAACGCCCCTCCCCTTAAGCCAGATCTCTACTAACTTTGAACTATAAAAATCCTGTTCTTTGTCCTGGGTGGAGGGAGTTTTCAGGGTGCTATCCCCCTCTGGAACCAGCTGTCAACAAAGGCTTTGTTAATAAGTGGTGTGGATTGATCTCGACCGGTAAAACAATAGAGATACCTCTGGAGTTCACGTGCTAGCATTTTGCAAAAATCAATGCTTCATTGCAAATGCTCCTTTTCAACAATGTAAAGCACAGCTCCACACGTGGACCATAACTCTTGGAATACACAAGAATCAAAATGACTACATCTGTGGAGTCAATGAAATCGCTCAATGCACAGAGTCAGGACAAGGCCAGAGGCTGACTGCAAAACAGGCCACCAGTTGCTGAGATGCGAGTTCAAGTTGAAGCTAAAGGAAATGAAAACAACTTCATCTCAAGAATGGATTTGACAAAGAGGATACTGAAGACCAAAGACCAGACATGTTGTGTGCTCACGTGTCATCATATCCAAGGGTTATTTTATTCATTTATTTTTAATCGTTTTATTAGGGGCTCATACGACTCTGATCACAATCCATACATACATCAATTGTGTAAAGCGCATTAGTACATTCGTTGTCCTCATCATTCTCAAAACATTTGCTCTCCACTTAAGACCCTGGCATTAGGTCCTCATTTTTTCCCTCCCTCCCCGCTCCCCCTCCCTTATGAGCCCTTGATATTGATAATTTA